GAGTAGCTGGGACCACAGGTGTGTACCACCACCTCCATCTAATTTTTTGTATTTTTTGGTAGAGACAGGGTTTTGCCAGGTTGCCCAGGCTGGTCTCTAATTTCTGAGCTCAGGTGATCCACCTGCCTTGGCCTCCCAAAATGCTGGGATTACAGGTGTGAGCCACCACACCTGGCCAAATTCCTCTATTTCTGAGGATCTTACTTAGTTATTGTTTTCCAGGAAGAACACAATCCATTACTTCATCTTAATTTTATTTTTAGTTTTCTCCTACCTTTTCTTCCAGACACATTGTCCCCTCCCCTGTTTTACCACCCAGAAACTCCTTCAGTTTAAAGGCAGAGAGGGACATGTGTGACTTTGAAGAAAAATAGAGAATTTCATTTTTCCTAAATTTAGCATTTAAGTTTAGGCGTTATTAACAATGATGCAGGTGTATTCTACTGAAATCAGATATTACACATTAGTAATTGAAATTTTGTATGCCTTTTCTCTTATAAGAAAATTTCCTTTACTGTTTTCCTTTCTACAGACATTACTGGCCACTTGATTGTAAAAGAACCAAGTATTTTTATGCATGTAATACAAGACGTGGTTTTGTGATTCAGAAAGTTGGTGATGATCTCACCAGCCTGGCACTGAGGTAATAGCTGAGAGAGAAACTGATTAAATCACAGACATTGTGATTTTTCTTATAGCCATTTTGGTGAAATTAGGAATGAACTAAATGGAGTATTCCAAATTTAAGTACTGGCCTATTAGTATGCTAGAATTGTTCCAACTATTCCTGCCTCTGGTTAAGTGTCGTATTCAAGAGACTTAATGTTACACAAAAATTCTAAAGTATTTAAAGAGATCTTCAGATAAGTGGGTCTGTAGATCTAAAAACATTAGCTAATAGGCAAAGCAAGTGCTTGATAAGATACATAGTTGCTGTTTCATCGCGACATGAAATGGAAAATATAACAAAAACCTTAATATCTAATATTCAGTAGCTGCATCAGGTTAAGCAGATCATCTTTTTTTCAAAAAACCTGCCAATTTCATTTCAACAGCATGTCATCAAAATTGTAACGATCCTGGGAGGAAGAGGAACAGCCAAAAAGGAGGGTGATAATTACAGCACAAGTTAAGCAGATCCCACATAATTACAGGAGAAGCCATTCTGAGATAGGAATATGGAATATTTTGTCATGAGTCATCCTATGATTAATCAACACCCAGCAGTGTTGCCCATTGTGGATTTTTTTTCATCAATTTGATCCTACCTATTGAAGATACAATGAAGAGACAAACAATTTAAGAAATTATTATAAATGATACCCTATTTATCCCAAGGGATAGCAGTTATTAGAGAAATGGCAGTGTCTTTGTCAGATGTAATTTGATAGTAATCAAATCGAACAATAAATGAATGTTGTGACCATGAACTCTTAATGACTTTACATACTTCAAAAAGTTACGTGAAAGCACAGGTGTAGGGAGGCACATGCATGCCATGAGCAGAACGCTCTTTCCCATTCCTGATGCCGAAGTGGTCATGGGGACTGGAGGACAGGCGAGGTGCTAGTAGTAATTGAGTGGGCAGCGTTGATATTTTGGTTAAAACAGAGGTTTAAAGAAGTGGATCCAAACACGTTTCATGCTTTTCTCATCTGGGGTTTTTCTTATTCTTCTGCCTGCTCTTTCTCCCTTTTTGCTAAGTCCTTTACTGTTGTTTGCATTTGCCAGAATTCCATCCTCTGTTTGCTTTCCTTCTCCCTCGGCACAGCTCTGTTTCTTTTCTGTTACGCAGAAACACGGTTAGCAAATTTGAGCCTGCACCACAATCTCCTGGAGGAATGGTTAAGACGGTTGATTCAGAAATGTTTTGTCGCAGTTCTGATAAGCCCCAGGTGACATTGCTGCTGCTGGTCCACGGACCACCCTTTGAGTACCACTGCTGTACTTGTAGTCACTCTCTCCCTTCTGTCAGGCACTCCTATCATCATGAAACATTAAATGATGGCTGGGGTCATGTGAGGAACTTTCCCCACATCAGTGACTATAATAAGCAGATAGACATAATGAGTAAAACTAGACAGGCCCGCAGACAAGAATTATAAGGAAGAGGTTGTCCTTGATGAGCAAGTTCAGTTACTCACATGGCTGATATTAAGTATTCAGGATACAATTCAAGTCTTTTGATGAAAAGATGACCCTGAGCAGATATTTTGTTAGCATCTGCATCATGGCATAACTGGGACTTAACACATTTCCTTCTAATTCAATGTGAAAGTATGTATTGAAGGCCTATGATGTGTCAGGAACTGTGTGGATTGTTCTGCGGTAGAGGCACCTGTGCATGGTGTGTGCACCTGACCATGAGAGCTTAAGCATTTCCTGAGAATGGCCCTGCATGGCAGACATACCTGAATGTGTGTTCACAGTTCTGAGCATAGCCAACTGGAGATACATTCCTTAACTATGACGAACATCTGAGCCCCCAGCTTGTCCAGTGGATGCTTGCTATACAGGGGATTGAGGCCCTTTGTTTTGGGTTGACTAAAGGTTGCCAGGTGGAGATTGTTAGGGAAAGGATGTTAAGTGAAAATGCTATATGAACAACATGCTTTTTATAAGTGATGGTAGTTCTACTGTCCAGCCTACCATATCTGCATGTAAGTTCCCCTCAATAAACCCCATATCTCATTTGCTGGCTCAGGGCTTCTTTTTTTGCTTCTCAGCCCTGTTGCCACTCCTTATCTCAGCTCACTGCAGCCTCTGTCTCCAGCGTTCAAGCGATTTTCTTGCCTCAGCCCACAGAGTAGCTGGGATTACAGGTGTGTGCCACCATGACCAGCTAATTTTTGTATTTTTAGTAGAGACGGGGTTTTGCCCTTTTGGCCAGGCTGGTCTCGAACTCCTGACCTCAAGTGATCCACCCACTGTAGCCTCCCAAAGTGCTAGGATTATAGGTATGAGCCACCGCCTCCGGCCTGATATGGAGATTTAATGGTTTCTATCCACAAGAAATCCAAAGCCATTAGTGTCTGATGGGAGAGAAAAAGTGACTACAGGGTCCCTATGCAGCAGTGATTCTCAAAGGCTGGTCCCTGGACTAGCAGCAGCATCTGGGGCTTGTTAGAATTCAGCAAGCATTTCCTGCAGAAATGTCTGGGGGTAGAGGGTCTGCAAGCTGTTTTGGAAAGGAAACAGGTGACGGTACTTGTGCAGAGGGAACTGTAAAGAGAACAGAGTGTGGGATTCGGGCAAATACCAATAGAGAAAGAGGCCTGGCAGAAGAGACAGGAAGAACAAACAGAAAAATAAGAGAAAAACCAGAAGAGGAGAGCATCTCTACAACTAAGACAGTTTTTGAAGACCATTTTCAAAGAGAGTGAATGATGCAGAGAGGTCAAGTTTAATCTGGCAGAGAAGCAGGAGAGTGGGTCTACAGGAGTGGCTTTAGAGGGAGCAGGATCCATGGAGCAAGCAGGCAGAGAAGAGGCAGAGGACAGGCTGCAGGGGCTGGAAACTGTGTGGAAAGGGCAGATGGGAAGCCAGCAGAATGGCTCACACTTTTGAGATTTGCTGCAATGGATGTGATGAGGCTTGGAGGCTGTTGGAAAAAGAAGGGCAAGGGAAGTCTTTTTAGGATGAGACAAACCAAGAAGTGCAAGTTTGTGCAAAGAGCCTCGTGTCTTTAGAAGGTGGATAGGGAAAGAATCAAGTACAGAGATGTAAAAGAGATCAGAACAGTCTATTTGCTGAGATAAGAGGGATAGAGAGAAGAATTATTTTGATAAATATTTTTGGAATGCCTATACTTGGCAGGCACTATTCTCAGTGTAATAAATAAAATAGACAAAGTGCTTGTTCTCCTGGAGTTTACTTTCTAGTGAGGGAAAACAGACAATAAGTAGATACATACACAATTTGTCAGGTATTCATAAATGCTATAAAGGTTAAAGTGGCAGGGTGGGCTGGCTCATGCCTGTAATCCCAGCACTTTGCGAGCCTGAGGCAGGCAGACTACTTGAGGTCGGGGAGTTCGAGACCAGCCTGACCAGCATGGTGAAACTCCATTTCTATGAAACATACAAAAATTAGCTGGGTGTTGTGGCGCACCTGTAGCCCCAGTTACTCAGGAGGCTGAGGCATGAGAATCACTTGAGCCTAGGAGGTGGAGGTTGCAGTGAGCTGAGATGGTACCACTGCACTCCAGACAGAGAGAGACTCTACCTCAAAAAATAAAAATAAACAAATAAAAAAGATTAAAGCAAGGTAAGGAGAATCAGAGCAACAGGAAGATTTGCTACTTAGGATACAGCCACTTCCCTAATAAGGCAGATTTTCAGCAGAAAGGGGATGGCAGGGAAGGAGTGGGCCATGCAGATAGAGGTCAGAAGAGAAGTTCTAGAGGGACCAGCAAGTGCAAAGACCCTTCTGCAGGAGCTGCTCTCTGTGTTTTAGGAAAAGCAAGGATGCCAGCTGCCTGCAGTGGGCTGAGCAAGGGGAGAGGTGGTGGGACATATGGAGGACCATATGCTGAGAAGCTGTGAAGACCGCAGTGTGGACTCTATGCTGAGAAAGCTGAAAAGATGATGGAAAGTTCTGAGCGGGGAAGTGACATGGGTATGAGTTAGTTTTTCTTCTCCGTTTTAAAAAAGGTAATTTTGGCTTCTGTGTGGAGAACAAACCATAAAAAGCAAGGGCAGAAGTGGGTAGAATATTCAGGAAGCTACTCCAGGAATCCAGGTGAGAGGTGATGGAGAGAGTAGTGGCTGCGTGAGAAGCAGCCTGATTCTGGATATATGTCAAACACAGTGTGCATGAGTTGCTGATAGAGTAGGAAGGTGTGAGTTCTGAGAGAAAGGGGGAACTCCAGGGTGGGTAAAGCTATTGGAAAATTTGCGGACGTAAGGGAAGAAAGCAGTGAGTTCAAACTACGATGTCTTTAGTGTTTAGTGTGTATCAAGCATCATGCTAAGTTTCTTGTCTGTATCACATCACTTAATTCTTCTAACAACCTTAATTTACAATGAAGGAACTGACCCCAAGAGAGGAAAGATGACCTGCCACTCATGGAGCAAATGTCGGGCCAGGCACGGCTACAGAGCACACTCTGTGAATTAGCCACATCATACAACCTCTATCTTCTCTGAGAAATGGAAGTTTACCCGGAGCTGGGGAAGGAAGGTGTAGGAAGGTAAGATCAAGATTGCAAAACAGTGCTGGCTGATCACTTCAAAAATGTTCATCAAAGATTTACATGTGAGTAATAAGATGATTTTTGACAATGCTTTCATTAGGGGAGTTGGTGTGGTTTGGGGCTCACCTTCCTGAGGCTATGTGTGTGATGTCTAGAAAATGACTGAGCTGCAATCTTTCTAGACCTTTCTAAAAGTCACCTCAATCACTGAGTGATCCCTTCCGCTGCCACAACTGATGTAGAACAAATTCCCTGCTCCCAGTCCTAGGAGATAAACATCCCCATGATCTTATTTAGCATAAACATTGACCTGAAATGGAGCAGGCTGGCAAGGTGGAAGTTGAGTCATGACATATTTATTAAGCTGAGTACTGAGTTTGACACTCAGAGGAACACCAAAATAATTCAAGACACATTTCTTGCCCTTAAGGGGCTTGCAACATTGGCTTGGCTGAAAGACCACCCAGCATCCATTAGGATGAAGAAATCAAATCTCCACTCTTGGGCCCACTGCACTGCTCAGAGTGACAGATCAGGAGATTAAAAGGGTCTTGGTGCATATGTAACGCACACGCGGCCTGTAGCCCCTGAGCCTGTGTGCATTACCTCTACAAGCAGCCTGGCTGCAGAGTGAAGGTGGCTGTTTGTGCATAAACATTGTCACTGGGACTGCTATTTCATCTCTCAACCTTGGCATCAAAGGAACACTGACCTTATTCCTGTAGCTTGCCTTTCTTTGAAGCATATGGCTTTGCATTGCAGATTAAAGTGAAGACATTCATCAAGGAACAGATCTGGCCAACTGCTCCCCAAACTGAACCCGAAACAAAGCCGTGAAAGGCCCCAGTCACAGTGGCTTGGAGTGGGCTGAAGATGAAGGCTCAGAGCCCGGCTCTTCTTTCTCAGATCCTGAAAGGCAGCTCTTGCATGACACAGTGCACCCTTTGAGCTCTGGGCAACTTTACCCTGAGAGTGAGTCTATCTCTGCAGAAAGGGGTAAGCTAATGCAATATTCCTAACCTGTCCTGCTCATTTGATTTAAAGCAGGCATTGTTGCAAATGAGGCCAGTGTGATCATTCACAGTGTGCCTTTGAATGCTTCAAAAGATGTGTCAGGCAGAACCACCTGAAATGTGGCTGATAATCCTGTCAATTTTCTTTTTCTTCTACTTTCCTTTGTTTGTTTCTTTAAAAATAAAGTGTCCTCTATTTCTCCCTCATTCTCTTATCTTGCCTCTAAAAAAAACCAGACCATACACATAGCAGTCTCTGTTTTTTTTTTTTTTTCTCTCTTAAGATGACAAGAGGAGTAAAGTGAGAAACTTTAACTGTGAGGTTGAAAAAAGTAACCAAAGAATTCTTTAGGTATAAGGTTAGGAGAGAGAATCAAGGGAAATGTCTCCTACCTCAGGGGAAGAAAAATTGATGGCAGATGATTACTGAGGGGTAAATAATCATGTATTTAAATGTAATCTTTCTGCACATCTTCCATTGTGATCAGAGCAGCAGAGCAAGTTCTGTCTGTGATGAAGTGGTAAACCAATCCGGAGGAGGGAAAGAAATGATTGTAAAGTTGCATACAGATAAAGCAACTGATTTGGATGACATACAGCAAAGGACCTCAGAAATGAGTGAAAATTTTTGTTGAGACATAGGCTAATTTCTAGTATAACTTTTTTGTAGTCACTTATCTTTAAAATGAGACCAAAGAATAATTCTAGTCTTTCTGAGACAATTCACTTAACTTGCAATTTTGCTTAAATCTCAAATAATTGAATTTCCATTACGAAACACTTGAAGTTTAAGAAGGAATTAATATGGATTTGTGGAAAGCCAATGGTTCCAGACCAGTTTTTTCATACAGTGGAAAGCTTGTATAGGAAAAGATGCCACTCTATATGGCTTCAATTTTAAAAGGTTAAAAGATACCTGTTTAGGACAGGTAGAGTGGCTCACACCTGTAATCCCGCACTTTGGCAGGCTGAGGTGGGTGGATCACCTGAGGTCAGGAGTTCGAGACCAACCTGGCCAACATGATGAAACCCCGTCTCTACTAAAAATACAAAAAAATAGCTGCGTGTGCTGGCAGGTGCCTGTAATCCCAGCTACTTGGGAGGCTGAGGCAGGAGAATTGCTTGAACCCAGGAGGCGGAGGTTGCAGTGAGCTGAGATCAGGCTATTGTACTCCAGCCTGAGTGACAAGAGCAAAACTTTGTCTCAAAAAAAAAATAAATAAAAATTAGCTGGGTGTGATGGTGCACACCTGTAGTCTCAACTACTTGGGAGGCTGAGGCAGGAGAATTGCTTGAGCAGGGAGGTGGAGGTTGCAGTGAGCTGAGATCGTGTCACTGCACTCCAGCCTAGGTGACAGAGCAAGACTTTGTCTCAAATAAAAAAAACCCAGAAAACAAAAAAGAAAAAAAGAACCCTCCCCCCATCCCCAAAAAAGGTACCTGTTTGTCCAATATCTGTATCCCTTAGTTTACCCCCACCTCTTTTCGGGGGTATGGCCATATAACTTGTTATGGCCAATAGATTGTAAGCAAGGTGATAAGTGTCATCTCTAGGCTGACCCTCCTGTTCTTTTTACCTTGGTAACCATGGGGGCCACATGTTAAGATTATCAAGCCTTAAGGTGAAAGGAGCCTGAGTCACTGCCTTCATGGATGAGCACTGTGTAGAGAGGTGACTGATTGGCATTAGATGTGATGCAAGCAAGAAATACCTTGGTTTTGCTAAGCCACTGAGATCTACAGGGTTTATTTGTTATGGTGGCAAAACCTCCCTTATCCTGACTAATCCAGGATCTTAGAGGACATCTAGTCCTACTTCACTTCTGTCATAAGGATGCTTCCTACAGTATCTCTGAGAAATGGTTCAAATACTTCTTGATCACCTCAGGAATAACAGCAAATAACAGTAGCAAGCAATTATATAATGCATACTAACAACTGTCTCCAGACACAATGTTAAATATTTTATACAGGTTAATTTACCTACTTCTCACAAAAACCTTGACTCATAAATATTTTTCTCACTTTATAACTGGATGAACTGAAGTACAGGGAAGTTGAGTAACTTGCTTGGGGTTGAACAGATAAGTCACTTGTCAAGGCCACACATGAATGAATAGTATCACTGGAGTCAGATCCAGACAGCTACCTTCAGTCTCGTACTATAGGGCCTTCCTAGACTGGACTGCCACTTTCTTTTCACAAAGACCAATCAATAAGATGCAGAGACATAACATCAAAAAGATAAGCCTGGAGGGGATCCTAGAGATCAGCCAATCACTGCATTTCAAATGGAAGAAAATATATCCTCCTGCAGGCCTTTACCCAGCTTTAGTGAAAAAGTCCTGTCTTTCAAACAAGAGTCTTGGGGAGCACTAGGGCTCGGTAGAAGGGCCCCAGGCCTCAATATGTGGGTAAGTGCATATACTACTTTAACTAGATCAGCCTTGTTCTAATCTGTTTTACATAGCAGGCTTCTGGTAGAATTTGTATGTGAAGAAAGTATTCTGCTGCTTTAATAATATTGAAAGCTGATGGAGTTCCCCATACTTCTATTGAAATAGCAGGTTTGGAGGGTTGCATTAAACACTGTAGGACTTCAGGCCAGCTGGGAGGTGAGGTGAGGCACATGGATTGTACAGTCCGGTGGCCAGGATAAATTGCTACTTCCATAAAGATGCTGCCCAGCTTCCCTGGCAGCAAGAACTGCCTTATTCAGCACCGTATCCCCTCTGGCGTGTGACATGTGGTAGAATCTCTATAAACCATCTCTGCAAGACAGAGCGAGAGTTCCAAGAGGCTTTTGTGAAACAGTTTTTCAAAAAGAGGATTAATTTGGGTTGAGCAAAGTAGCACAGTTTAGCTGTGGTGACCCACTGGCAAAGAAATGGCTGGAAAGTTATTGTGTTTTGTCTATATATCCTCAAATGGCCAGCGGTGGCCTTCTACTGCCCAACCTCTGGCTATAAAAAATAAAAGGATTGAAAACTTGGATATTAAATTGACTACTTCGGTCTTAGGGAAACACAAGTGACACCCCCAAGCAAGCACAGGCAGGCGCGCACACACACACACAATATTTGCTTCACTTCAACATAATTGATTACACAAAATTATCAGTGAGGTAGATTAGAACGTTTTCTTTGCTTTAACAAAGAGTTTTTGTGTGGTGTGGTAATGGCGCATGGTAATTTATCACATGGCTTTATTTACACATCGGGTTCCATAAGATAAAGTCGTGTATTTGACAAGCGGGGAGATTGATGAAGCAGAAGGGAGACAGAGAGGTCCAGGAGCTGTGCTCTCTGCAGATCCTCTTACCTTGTGTGGTCCCATCCAGTCCCATGATAAGTTTTAGTGATCTGATGATTTGCTCTGCTATCGGTGGGCTCATGGATGTAGCGTAAACAGCACTATGAGAGTGAATCCGTAAATAATCCACAAGGTCCTTAAATGAAGAGGGGAAATCCAAAAAGGAGGCAAATAAATCTCAACACTGGTGATGGGAGTTACATCTAGTCCCATCCCCATCCTCATAGCAAAAGACATTTGATCTCAGCTCAAAAGATGAATGGGGTCCAACTTTGAATGGGTTTCACCAGAGTTTGTATTTTTTTTTATTTCTTCATAGTCACTCCCTCAAAAACCTGAAATCTACAGAAAAAGCAGGATGCTGCAAGTTTGGAGTTGAACTTTAAGGCAAAACCAGATGTGTGCAGGAAAAAAGGATTCCTGACGCATTTGTTGATTACCTACTATGTGTGTGCACTGACTTTGTATTCAGTGCCCAAAGCATACAGGATGTGGTCCTTGCTCTTTAGAATATTACATATGATTGTGCCCATGAACAAGCATGGTAGAGTAAGTCACAGTGCATGCAAACCAGGACATGCAACAGGGCTGCAAGATGCAGAGGAAAGAGAGAGAGTCCTTCTAGCTGAAGTAGGTAGAGAAGTTTCCAATGAGGAGATATGATTAAGCCTTGAAGAATGAAGACACTTAAGGAGGAAAAGAAAACATGGAGAGAGGGTGTCAGAAGAGAGAAGTTGAACAAAGGAACAGAAGCAAGAAAGCAGAAGGCATGTATAGTAGAGTGTTGACAAAGAACAGCTGTAATTCTTTCACTGTCTGTACCCATGCATCTTTGCAATCCAACTTTGCAGCTCAGAGGTGGATTAATCTGGGCTGACCTTGTGACTTTCTTTGTCTGGTAGTATATGGCAGAGGTGATGATGTGGTGGTTCTGAGTCTATGCCTCAAAATGCCTTGAATGCTTTTGTCCTCTCAGAACTCTCTAGCTGCCATATGAATGAGCCTGAGCTAGCTTGCTGGAGGATGACAGCCATGTGGAATAGAGAAGGACCATTCCAGCTCAAGCCACCCCAGGCCACCAGTGCCCTGCTGACTCAGCAATGGACTATCATACACGAGCAAGCCCAGATGAGACCAGAAGAACTCCTCAGCTGAGCCCAGCTCACACTGTTGATGGGCAGAATTGTAAGCTGAATAAATGGTGGTGTTTTTAGACACCAAGTTTGGGGATGGTTTGTTACACAGCAGAAGCTAATGGATGGAGCATACTTGGAGGACAGCAAAGGATGGTTTGAGGAGAGGCTTATGGGAAATCAAACCAGAATATAGGTTAGGACCAGATAAACTCTGGTTATGCCTTGAGCAGCAGAGAACTATTGGAATTTTGTGTATTTTGCATAACATTCTTTGGAATGCTGAGCAGCTACAGAATACTGGTCTTCAGTGGTAGGAGCCATTTTTCACCTGCCTCCCTGAGTCCTGGGGCCAAATGTAGGGTCCTAAGTAAGCTTGCTGCAAGCCCTAAGAAGGTCCAGTAACCTAATGCTGCAGTGGTGAAGGCCTCAGAGCTGGCATCTGCATGTGCTCAGTTGGATTGCAGAGACCCTCCATCAGTCCACCTACAGCGTCTCCTTGCCTTGGGACTCTCAGGGTGTCCTGCAGAAAAGCTGA